CCCCCCCAGCACAGCTGGCTCCAGTCGCCCTCCCCAGAGCGGAGGGATGGCAGGGGACAGTGGCTTCCCCAGCTCTCCAGAGGCCAGCCCCACTTACTGAGGTTGCCAGCGCCGTCTCTGCAGTGCCAGCGTGAGCAGCGGCTGTGCCGTCCCTGCTGCCCAGGGCACCTCCTTCCACCTGCGGGGGCAAAGGAAACCCGGTGAGCCTGGGGGTGCCAGGGAGGGAGTGACACTCGCAGGGACAGTGCGGCCATCCTTGCTGCCAGAGGAAGCCAGGAAGGGCCATGAGGCCACAGACGCGTGCGGTGCAGCATGTGTGGTGGCTGTCACCCTCTGGAGACGTCCCCATGTGCCAGCGCTGCCTGGCAGCACAGCAGACGGGACCAGGGGTGCACACAGAGTATCTGTGGGTAGGCTTTGGTTTGATGTTTTGGGGACTCCAGCAAGACAAGGGCAAGCAGAAGACCCCAACCGCTCCACTCAGGCACCTGCCCTCCCAGCACTGCTGCCTGGGACAGGCTTTGCTGGACAGAGGCTTGGCAGAGCCATTGGGGAGCAGGGCCAGAGGAGGACTGAGCCACCACGTCACCTGGGCTGCATCTGTGGTGCTGACCTGGTGAGGAGCAGAGCCGTCTGCTTCAAGCTTCTTCATGCCTGGCCGCAGGCTGACAGTCACAGCGTCTGTTTTGGGGCCTGATGACTGAAGAAGAAACACAGCAAGTCAGGCACTGGAGCACAATGGCAACAGCTGCACTGGGGCACGATGGCAACAGCCCTGAGCGCCCCCACGCGCAGAGCGTCCCTGCCCTGTGCCTCTGCATGTGCCGCACACGTATGATGTCCTGCAGGCATCGCGCTGAGCCCTCCCCTGGCAAAGAGCGGAGGCCACCATGCGAAGTGCACCATGTGACTGACATAGCCCAGGTCAGACCCGATGCTCTGTCCCCAGGGCTTTCAGGGATTTTTTGGAAAGATTTATAGACACTGTGCGTTAGGTCAAAGTGGTCTTCAGAAGGTGGGTGAGACCCACCAAACCCATTTCCGCCGTGCCACGTAGCAGGTTTATGATCCGCACCAGCTCCTGGTGGCTGTGGTTACATCCAGGCTGTCAGAATCTCGGGGGAATGGAGACCAGTTTCCAGCACGCCCCTGCTCCAGGAAACTGGAGCTGCCAAGGGCTCTTGCATGGAGAGGCTTAGCCAGTGCTCAGCATTCTGAGACAACAGCTTCCCCTGCCCAGCACCGGCCACGGGGCCCTGCGGAGCTTATCACCCATGCCCACCACCCCGCTGTGACCCCAGAGCCCACAGCATTGGATGCTCAGCACAAGGGTTTCCAGGCTGGCTCAGAGAAAGCTCCCCCTCATTCTGCAGCTTTTTCCTGGCTCTGGGTATGGACTTACCCTGGCAGCTCAGGCGGCACTGTGGACTTACCTGCCCGGGCTGGACGGCTGCCCTGGCGCTGACCAGGCAGGAGGTGACCCTGGCCTGGCATGGAGGCAAGGCTATGTTTCATCCGGGCTGGGGCTGGCTCTACCATCCCCGCCCCATGGCGTACACTCAACTCCCACACACATGCCACATGCATTTTTCTTAGCCCCGCTACAACCCCTCCTGGCATGGGAGTGACCCTCCAAGGAGCTTTGGGCCGCTCCCACAAGCTACCAGGTAAACCCCTCCCAGCCCCAGCATGACCAGAGAGGTTAGCTGGCAGCACGCATCTCTTCACCGCACAAACTGGTAGCTCGTATGCAGACCAACTTCATGCAAAGCAGGAGAGGGCCGATGGTTAGCGACACGTGGCCTGCCCGGCCACAGCATGCTGCAGTGGTGCGAGGGATGGGGTAGGAAGCCACGCGCAGGGGATTAAGAGACGACGGTGACTTCTCCTGGTTAGCAGATGCACAAAACACATGACAGAGCCATGCAACACAGATGACAGCGTGCACTGGGGGCAAACAGCTACACCAGACGGGACCCTGGGGATAGTTGAAAGCTTGCATGCTCTTCCAAACCAACGTGGGAGTGCACAGCAGCGAGGCAACACCGGGCACCGGGACAAGGAACACAGAGGTGTGATGGCACTGAGACAGTTCTCGGTGGAATGGCGTCCCTGTGTACCTCTAGCTGGGAGACATCGGGGCTGGGCTGGGAGACCTTCTCCCCGCCTTTGAGATCCTCTTCCAGTCCGGGAACTACTTTGTCAGTGTGCTGGAAGGAAACCAGGCCTTCGTCTTCTGTTTCACTCTTGTCCTTGTCCAGCTCAGGCAGGCTCCGGGAGATGTCCTCAAAAGCCATGCCATGGAAGTCACCGATCACTGTGAAGTCCACCTCTGCTTCCAGGCTGGAAGTCGAACTGACCGTGATGCTGGAGCACTTGCGCTCGATGGCCAGGTGGTTGTCCTTCAGAAAGACCGAGTCCTTCTCCTGGTCCTGCTCCTCATCGCCGGTGTCACTCTCAGGAGCCCTGTGCCGAGGTGGCTTAGCTTTCTCCTCGGTGCCCTCCCTCAAACCTGCTCTCTGAATGAGACACAATGGTGGAGAGAGACGGAGACAGTGAGCACTGGGCGGCGCGGCAGCGCTGGCGGTGCCAACAGGGGAGAGGGCGGGAGGAGCAGGAGGAAGAGGAAGAGGAGAAAGAAGGCTGCAGCAAACATCACAGAGTAGAGTCAAACACAAGTCAAGCATGGAGACTGAAACCTTTCTGACAGCAGCGACTTTGCAGGGGTGGGGTGGGGGGAGAAGGGTGATTCAGTCTGATTTTGCCAAAAGTCTGGTGCTAATTAATCATCTCAAAAAAGGGTCAGTCGCACAGAAAAGCTTGGAGGCCTGTCAGTGCACCCGGGGGAAGCAGATGTATGCAAAACAACAGGTCTGGTAAGAGACGTTCAGAAACAGCTCAGACGCCAGCGCCATCGTATGTCAGTAAGGTTGGGCACTCAAAAAAAACCAAACCAAAAACCAGAGGAAAAGAGAGAAGAGTTTGAAAGAAAAGAGCCCCATCAGCCACACATAGTGAAGGAGAAGCGAAGGGGTGTGCCAATTCCACTGAGCACCTGTGTGGGCCTGCAGAGCATTGCCCCAGAGGGAAGAGGACCATGCCAGGGCGGCTGGGGGGCTCAATCTGCCCCGCCAACACACTGCTCCCCCTCCCGAGGCCTCACACAGCCGGGGTGAGTCTTGGGGATGACCTGGTTGAGTGTTGGTCAGTGTAATTGACAGCATGACCAGAGCCGAGGGATGACCCCCCTCCGTTAGCACTTCTCCAGGCATGGACATACCTCTCAACTCTGCCGTCAGAGGGTACATTTCCCCTCACCACGCTTTGCCATAAAGCCATGGGAAATCTAGACCCATGGCCGGACTTTGGGAAGATCCATTGCTGGACTTTGGGACATCTAGACCCATGGCCGGACTTTGCGTCTCGCTCCAGACAGCTCTTCCTTAGGGACAGCTCTAAGCCCACTGATGCCAGAGGAACCCCAGCTCCTGGACCCTGGCCCACAAGTCCGCAGCCAGAGCCATCCCCCCAAGGGAGGTTGAGAGGTATGAGAGACAGGGTGTCCCACAAACTCAAGAGGAGCACGCCCACATACATGTTCCCGTGTGTGCGCCTATGTATAAATATATACATAACAGCTCTGCGGTGGGGAGAGGAGCTGGAAGCACGCAGCCCTCAGCCAGGTGAGTGAGCTCTCACACGGCAGTAAGCAGCAGTTAGTAAAACAGCACTGAGACCTGGAAGACCACTGGAACCTTTACATTCTCTTCTTTCAGGCTGGATTTTACTGATGGTTCAGATAAATCCTTTTCTTCCCCACTTGGTTCCTGAGATTTGCTCTGGATTAGAGAAAATGGTTAGTCGTAAGGAAACGAACTCTACAGGAGCTGATCTAGTGCTGACAAGAGCCAAGAAAGCTATTTTGTCACCCAGCCACCAGCTTGCCGAAGACAGGGGAGAGTGGGGGAGCCTGGGGAGCTAAGCGAGAAGGGGTATCAACGTAAGAAATGCAAGGGTGAAGCTGGAAGCGTGGGCACGCTGCTGCGAGGTGCGTGTCCGTGACAGTCGCAGCTCCTTCAGCCACCCCCCGTCTCCCTTTCTCACTCCTGGACATGAAGCTTGGGTGCCGGCTCTTGGGTTTAGCGAGCGGCATTCTCCAGGGAGCCAAGATGCCGGGGGGTTGGGGGGGTGTCACAAAACACAAGCTGATGAACCGACTGGCCAGCGGGTCTGCATTCAGCAAATAAGCCTGACCACACACACATACATAAACAACAGGGGATGCAAAGCGACTGCCGTCAGTCAATGGATGTGTGAGGAGCGACTCAACATGATAATAAGGAGCCACACAACATGCGCATGAACTTCCCGTCCGGACAGTTCATTGGAAGAGTTACCACGGCTTCCGCCAGTGTGAGTTCACAGCCGGAATCGGGGGAGGCCAGGTCAGCACTGTCTTCTCCTTCGTGCTCCAGGTCAACAGAAACATCTCCCTTCAGAGAGGGAGGCTGGGAGGCATCTCCTGAACCAGCCCCTTGCCTGAGGGCCAAGGAGTCCACGCTGGACGCCAGTCCCACCGGAGCAACTGGTACCGCCGGCAGTGAGGCGAGGCCTGTGTTCAGACGCATGTCCTGCATCAGACCTGTCTTCCCATTTGCTTTTGCTGATGTCTCAGCTTCAGGCACACGCTCTTGTCCTTCCTGGGCTGCTCTTCGCTCTGCCTCGCTTTGCTCGAACATCTTAATCTTGGAGGCCACTGAGGTTTTCCTGTAGCTCTCACTGTCCTGCCAGCTACCTGGGGCCACAGTGACACCTCCATGCTCCCGGGACGCAGCTCCCGTCCTCCCAGCCACACACACCAATGACCCAGGCTCCATCTGATGCGTCCCACTGCCATCTTGCAGCTCTTCCCCACCAGTAAGGAGCTGGTATATCTTGCTTCCTTGACACAACCCTGCTATGGGGGAGTAGGAGTGTGGGGCACCAGCAGTTGCTTTGGGAGGGGATTCATCTTCAGGCAGCTGCCCCAGAGCAAAGTCACCATCTTTGGTGGATTCTCCTACTGTAGGGCTCCTGCCCTGCAGATCTTGCCCCGCATTAAACTCCAAGACCCGGGGTGGCTCTTGTGCGTTGGGGTCTGCAGCGTGGAGCAGCCCTCCAGCTGCGGGACCCTCCTGGGGCAGGTCTCTTATCATGGCCTCAGGCTGTTGTTCTGGTCCTTCTGCCTTGGGAGACAGGTCTTCTCTGCAAGGGCTTTCGTCATGGGACAACTCTTCTGTTCCGCAGCCTTCATCTCTGGCCTCTTTCATCATGGGCTTCTCCTCCTGGAGCAACACTTCTGTGGCAGAGACTTGGCTCTGGGTTGCCCTCGCTGTGACAGGGTCCATGTCCTGGGCCACCTCTCCCATGGCCAGGTCTCTGCCCTGCATCGGCTCTGCTGCACTGTCTGTGCTTCGGGGTGGCCATCCTGCAACAGGACTTGCACCTTGGTCTGGTCTCCATGTAGCAAAGCCCATGTCTTGGGGTTGTTCTTCAGATTCAGGATTGGTGCCCCTGGGTGCTGCCACCTCTGCTGCAGGGCTCATGTCCTTGGGTGCTCCTTTGCCTACGACGGGGCTCACCTCCTGGCGTGCTGCCTCCGCTGATGGGTTCACATCCTTAGGTATGCCCACACCCCCGACAGGGCTGGTAGCCTGGGAGAGGTCTCTGCCCTCAGGCTTGGCGCCCAGGGCTGGCTCCGCAGGGACAGGGCTGGATTGCTGGGGAAAGGGCATGGGGGCAGGCGAGCTGTGTTTATCCCCCTCCCACCCCACGGTGCTGTGTGGGCGGCCCTGCCAAGGCACAGCCAATGGAGGTGATTTGGTCTCTATCTCTTCCATCTGAAGAACCACTCTGGCACTTTCCTCCTTGTCGACGTCTGCTCCAATGCTTCCTGAGAGCCCCTCTGCTGCTGTGCAGATGTCTGGGCTCTGTACTGGGCTCCCGCCATGCTCCTCAGCCCCATGGCTGCCCCCTGCCAGGCCACACGGCTTCAAGCCTTCCACGGGGCTTTGCAGACCCGTCTCCTCTGCTCCCACCTCTGGGGAACACAGCAGGGCTTCGCCTCCCTCAGGAACTTCGCAGCCTGTCGGCCCAGCAGATGCTTTCTGGTGCAGCAGGAGCAGCCCTTCCACCTGCCCCAGGGTGGGACGTCCCATCAGACCGGTCCCATCACAGCCTGTCATGGGCTGCTCCGGCACTTCAGCAGGTTTTCCAACCCCGTCTTGTTGACTTGCTGTAGAAGGTGGTTGGAACCCTTCTGTCACTGGTGCCGTGTGTCCACATCCCTCCCCGGATGTGCTCACAGCAGCTTCTGGGCTCCCCTCCAAGCCAAGCTGCCCACCAGCCTCCAAGAGCAGGTGTGGTTTGCTGTCCTTCGCCTCGCCCTCTGGATCTCCTAAGTAGATGATCCTCTGGGTCACAGAAGTCTCCAAGCTGTCATCACCAACCTTCGCTTTAATTTTAATGAGCTCTGTGGCTGCGGCTGGCACTCTGGCTTCCTGCTTCTTGGAGGCTGCAGAAGCATGATCCTTGGAGACTGCCTCGCTTTCTCCCTGGGGAGGCTCTGGCCCTAAAATCTTGTCCCTTGGCCTCTCTTCAGGCTGCTGACACAGCTTGGGCAGAGCTGGTGAGCTGGCGGTTGCTTCCTCTCCCGGCTCTTGGGGCTCCTGCTCTGCACTTGCAGCTGGCCGGCGCTCGGTCTCCTGGCTGGGCTCCCCCCTGGTTTCCTTCTCATAGATCTCATCCTCCCAGACAGACTCAAAATCCTCGGGACTAGCGATCATTTTTGCTCTCGCCCGGGTATCCAGGGCTGCATCCGCTGGCTCTTCCGGGCCCACCGCTTCCTTGGCTTCCCCTACGGCCATCTCCATGTGCAATACGCTCGTGCTTGTTTTCACCTCTGAGGCACCTGTATCTGCTGCTTCTTTCTTGGTTCCCAGAGCTTTCTTTAGAGCTATCGCCTCCAGCCTAGGAGTTTCTCTCTCTATAAATACCCAATGCTCCGAGCCCTGCATTGCAATTGGAGCAAGAGAGTTAGCATCAAACACACTTTACCTAACGGCTGACGGCTGCTGCCACCAGTAATGGAGAGCTGGTCTGCCTCGGACAGGGCTGACAAAATCATTATTATTGTTATTGTTATAATTATCATCATCGTCATCATTATTATTTGTGCACGATTTGAGGCAGGGTCTATGCAAAGAGCCTGGCAACTTGCTGACAGAGAGAAAGGGCCTGAAAGTAAGGGGGGCTGATGCTGTGGCGGGGACTGAGCCCCACTACCCTCTCCAGGGGCCATGGCTTGCTCTGGGTGCTGGCTCCCCGACACACCTGCAGTACCTGCAGCTTTGCTGAGGTGGAGCAATGGGCGCAATGCTGCCAGTGAACACACGAACGGCCGTCAGGGCACCTCTCATGAGGCAGGGGACCACAGCTGGTTAAACCCAGCGGGGACACCCCATCCAACTCCTGTTTTCAG